AAAAAGAAATAATGTTAATAAATTAAAATTTTCATTAGAACCACATCCTTAAACATACAAGATTAGGTGTTTTAAGGATAACACAAAGTGCATGTCGTTTTTCATAAAAAATTATAGGGATGATTTATTATAATGTAGTAAAAATGAATGCACTTAACTTATATCTTACAGGCATTGACAATATAATGTAGATGCTAGATATCTAGGTAAGGATAGATGAGAAGGTTTTATTTATCATAATTACAACATGAGATATAAATAGATGTTCAAGAGACCAGACAGGTTTATACATTAATTTTGAAGGCTCTGTGGATGACAAAGAAGAAGAAAAGGTGGCAATTAGTATTATTGATGTAATTAAACCTTTACTTGATGAAATTAAGGAGATTCTACTAGATAGTTGTTGAGTGGACTCTAGTTGATGAGAGACATTTAAGACTCTAAACTAGTAGGAGCATTACCTGATAGCCAAGGAATTTGTGTTATATGCTGATTATGGGGTGCTAAAATTTATTAATCGGAAAGACTAAATGAGTAGTGCAATGCACACGAGATGGATAACTTATAGCAATTCCTAATCAAAATAATTGTGGATAAGACTGGAGTCTCCAATGTGATAGTTGATGCTTTTGGTAGAATGGCAGCCTTACTAGTTACTTTGAGGCGAGAGATCATTGGACTTAATTGATTGAAAGAATTGTGTAAACATGATAAGGATTTGGGTGAGTTATGGGAGAGAAGGTTTGAACCTTCTTGTTACTGACTCTGATATTCATTATGGGTTCTTGATGAGATGTAATTAGCTCTTCGTTCTTCGTTCTTTTTGTGAGAGAAATCGATTTAAAATATGCATAAAATAGGCTTAACTAGTCATTATGAGGGAAAGGAAAGTACTAATGCTATTATTGAAAAGTATTGTTCACCTCACTTGAGATGGGGAAATTGGTAAGTTTTTTTAGCCGAAATCAAGGAATGGCATCATTAGGGTTGGGTGGCCGCTACGTGCACCATCCAAGAGCGAGAACCTATCTCACTCGCTGGTGCGTGTAATATGCACACGAACCAATTCATAATATTTGATTGAATTCTGTCTCAAAACTCCGTTTTCAATTTAAAATGTGGTCCCTAAATCTTCAATTATTCGAAGTAAATGAAATTGATTTTTTATTTCTCAAATCTAGCTTCATATTTATGAATTTGCAGGATAAAACAGTGAGATCACCTGACTCATGCAGGTAATTTTTTATTTTTTATTTTTTTGCAAGAGTCGGAGCTAGATCGTTAGATAAGGATTGGAAAAAGCTTTAATATCATCTAGTTATCATCGGTATAAAACCAAATAATTAAGCTAATAAATCAGTAACAAAGCTTAATTTCAATTTGTCTTGTAACATATTATGGAGAAATGTTGTGGTGACACTGTGTAAATAGAATATTTGCATTATAAACTATACTATAAATGTTATAAATGTTCAGAGGATCATAAAAAATGTTATTTTTTTTTAATTTTTTATTCCAAAAACTTCTGATATATTTTAGGCTAAGGCATGACCTTGAGTCTGGGAGATTAAACAAAAAGTTCGAGGCCATCATCATGAACTGAAAAAAAATATATAATATTGCTATCAAAATTATGGTTCGACTTATAAGACTATATGTTTTTACATGTAAATATACATCTTACATGTAAATTTAGAATAAAAACATAACTTGAAAATTAATAAAATCATA